TTATCTTCTTCTTAACTGTGTCAGCAGTTAGAACTATTTGCTTAGTGCTAAATTGGGAAAGTTTTACTTACATGTTTAAGTTTTTACTTGTATGAGATGTTTTATTTGAGGCAAATAGAACAATTTATATAAATAAATTTCTTAACAGTGAGGGTGACAGAGCACTGGAACAGGCTGCCAAGGGAGGTTGTGGAGTCTCCTTCTCTGGAGATCTTCAAAACCTGCTTGGACGCAGTCCTGTGCCACGTGCTCTAGGTGACCCTGCGTGTGCAGGGGGGTGGGACTAGATGATCTCTAGAGGTCCCTTCCAACCTTCAGCATTCTGTGATTCTATGATTCTATGAAATGCTCACCAGCATATTAGAGTAGCATAGCACCATCCCATCTTGTTTAGTTTCTTATTATATCATTTAAACTGACATAAGCAAAGAGAAATGGAAAGCCTGATAAAATGAAAGCTTATCTAATCCTTTCGCTCTTATATTACTGTGGAACACCTGCATCTAAATGCCAGCTACATGCTACAGTGAGATGAAACATGACAAGAACAGTAGAATAAGGATTTTGGAGATGAGTTTTCTTACAGATACTTGCTCTTTCTTGAGCCTATTATGCCAGCAGTTGAATTTGACAACAATCTGGTATATTGATGCGTAATAAGTATATAATGAATAGCAAGACTAGAGGTTCTTTACTATTTTCCACTCTGTAAGTTGTTTGATCTTCATCAGTACTGCTGTCTTCATCTCATCATTCAAACAGAAAGCTAAAAAGGGAGATACATGAGGTAGAGACATTGCAGAGCTTGGTTAAACAGGATGCAAGTCCCACATTAGAAATCTTTAGTCAGTATGATACTGCTTTTTCAGATCTAAATAGGTATTTGCGGTAAAGAAAAAATCAAATGCAAATCAAGTATGAATTACAACTGCATCTAAAATTAAAAATGGTGGATCTTATAGCAAAGGTTAACTTTTATATTCAAAGTATACATTACTGCTGTCAAAAAAAGCAGCGCCCAATCCTGTTTGGCAGGAAGGATCCTTCCTTGCAGTAAAACAGAATATTTGGTGAAATGGCTAATTCCTGCCTTTACCAGATAAGAGAACAATCTAAATGTAGGCAGTATATTAACAGTCACATTTTCAATCAACCATTAAAGTTACACAGGCGCATTTCGTAAGCCCAACAGCTACATCTGGCGATTGATATATTGCACTTTTTGCGTCTGTAGATTAGATGATTGGATAAGACAACAACTGAGCACAAAACTTTGCGTAAATAAATGAGTTCTTCAGGTACACAAACAGTTATTGCAAAGCTGATCTCCTAATAATGCCCCATGGATGTTATCAGTGCTTGTAGAATTGGAAGGCAACCCAAACTGATGCTTAACAACAAAGCATGTCAGCAATCACAGTATTTTTCTTCATAAATAGAGAGTTTTTCCCTTCAGAATTTTTAGGCCAAACATTTCTAGATAAGTTATATTGGTGCTACAACCCAGCTTTGTGATAAGTGTTGGTTTCATCCTTATCCACAGAAAGGCTACTGCCTGTTTATATTACTGCACAGATAGAGACTGCCTTTGATTTTTTGTGAAAGAGCGTCTTTTATAAGTTATGTATTGGTTGGCATGGGAGATCCTTTGAACATGTAAAATGTCTCCATAAAAAAAAAGTTTTATTTGCTTCCACGTCATATTAATTATATATACTTAATGCAGAAGTGTACCCATTGTGTAAAGTGACTGCTTATAAAGTATTCAAGATAATTTTTCAAGATATTTTTCCAGAAAATTGCCACTAACTTTCCATCTCCATTTTTTAACTTTTTCAGTTTTTATACGTTTTCTTGGTAAGTTCAGGTATAGTACACAAATACTGATGCAATTGCAGTGCTTCATGCAAAAAGCTGTAGGATAAAAAGGCACATGCTTTACTCTGGTATAATTAAATTACATCAATATGTGGAACATGCAATCTTATTAACAAAACAAAATCCATTTGCCAGGGTCTCCTTTTTTTAGAAGTTCATGTTAATTGGGATTCTCTATCCTCTTTTAAATTCTAAATTAATAATAATTAATAATCTTGCACAGAGTAATTTTTGATACTTCCTGGGCTCCGCTTTATGTACAATACTACATGCCCTCATCTATGTCATATGTGTTTTCCTTGTAGGCCGCACTGACTTTTCCACAAATGTTTTCCTTATTAGTTGTGGGATTATGGCTTTGGGGTTATCTAGGCCTGCCTTCCTAAAGCTTTTGCAACGATCATTCTCTCATTTCAGTTTAAATTCTTTCTCCAAACTGATTTACCTTTTAATTGATTTTGCCTTTATAAAATTATTCCTTTCAATGCCCCAGGTATATATAATACTGGTCTGGCTTTAATTCTGTTTGTACATAACAAATGTCATCAAATTGTGATCACTTATACCTAAGGTGTGACTAATTTTCAGTTCCATGATCAATTCCTTTTTATTCCTCAGTTCCAAGAGGAGGTCTAATACAGGATTCCCCTGTGCTGATGCAACCCTTTCTGAGTGAGGAAATCAGCTTTTAAAATATTTTCAGATTCCAAGGACATTTTAACATTGGCAGCACGGGGCCTCCAGCATACGTCAGTCACATGCAGGGTGCCTTGGCACAGCAGTGTTTTCCCTCTGTGTTGCAGACAGGTAAGGCACAGGTCGTGCTGTTCGCTAGTGTGATTTGATATCAGATAAGCACCCTGTCAACTTCGGACTTATCCGCTAGGCCACTGACCCATGAACGCTCAGGATCATTTGCTTCCCATTGCCATTAACTCAGGAGCAGGTAATGCCCTTCTTGATGAAGAGCTTTCTGTCCAGTTGATCCTTCCAAAATAGATTATAACCATCGATTTTGACATTCCAAGTTTTACAGCCAGTTTCAGCAATAACAACCAGGTCAAATACGGGCTAAAAAATGACCTCTTCTGCCAATGTCAAGTTTGCAACAGCAGAATGCCAGCTACTGAAAAATCTCTGCTCGCTGTGTTCTTGAGCATCTTTATTATGTTTTATCATTGGATTAGCATTTGTGCCTTTTCCCCGTTTATTTCTTACAGACCCCCAGACTGCGGGGTCCGTGTGGCCTCTGCGCCTTCCCCCCGCCGCGCGCTGCCGCCCCGCTCCCCGCTCCGCCGC